CTTTCCCCCCGCCCGTTTCCCACTTCTCAAGGGCCTCGGAACAAGCGAAGGTGTCATCATTGAGATCCTGGCGTCGCGGACGAAAGTGCAACTCCAGGAGATAATCAAAGCTTACAAAGAAGGTAAAGCCGCTTCCGCCGGTGCCCCAGGGGGAGTGAATAGAAACAGGGAATCGTCAAGTGATCCACCCTCTGTCACCCATTCCCAGCCCCTGACAAACAGACAAACACCATCCCTGCCCAGCCTGGCTAACAGCCATGGATGTACCTAACCTCCATGAATTTCTCTAGTTCTTTTTGGAATGCCGTTAAAGTCCTGGCCTTTACAACATCCTTTGGCAAGGAGTTCCACAAGTTAACTGGGCACTGCATGAAGAAATACTTCCTTTGTTTTAAATCTGCTACCTATTCATTTCATTTGGTGACCTCTAGTTCTTATGTTATGGGAACTGTCACGTTCCGGAGTCTAAGAATGGAGCCTATGCAGGGTCTTAACACGCTACAGAGTCTGCCACTTGAGCCTATGCTTCTTTTGGAGTCCAATTAGAGTCGCCTATTGACACGCTGTCCCTTCACTGCCACAATGAGCACTGCAAGGGGAGGGGAGACTCGGGCCTGCCCTCGCTCCGAGTCTTGGCCCAGGGCCCTAAAGACGTTGTAGCCTTTTCTCCATCTTGGTTGACGGGGACTCGGCCCGTAACTCATCGACCTGCAGGTTATTCACTGGCCCTGCCATGGGCCACTTCCTCCCCCCGGCTCTTTAGCGAGGGCACCACTGGAGCTCTGGCCAGGCTCCCTCCGGCAGACCTTACCTCCCAGCTGCTGGAGGCTATGGGGCTCCGCAGCCCTGGGGTCCTCCTCTCCCCCCTTTCCGGCTGGACTCCGCATCCTTTACACCCTCCGCCCCATGTAGGCATCCGGGATGACGCCTCCTGACGCTTGGCTCCGCCCCCTTCCCTCTCGGGGTCGTCCTGCGTGGCCACGCATGCGGCGCCGGCTGCTCCCAAGTCCTTGCCGTGAGCTGGAGACCGACTGCCCCGCCACAGGAACAAATGAATAACTTTTCCTTATTCACTTTCTCCACATTTGTCATGATTTTATAACCCTCTAGCTGCCCTCCCCCCTTAATCTCGCTTCGTGTAGGAGCCGTTCCAAACCCCTCATCGTTTTTGTTGCCCTTTTCTGAACCTTTTCCAATGCCAGGATATTTTTTTTGAGCTGAAGCCACCACATCGGTAGGCAGTATTCAAGATGTGGGTGCACCATGGATTTATACAGAGGCAATAAGATATTTTCTATTTAATCTCTATCCCTTTCTAAATGATTCTTTAAGGGTGAGGTCCATACCCATCCCTTGGGGCTCAAAGGCAGCGTTTGGCCTTGAGAGAGGTTTTTCAGAAAATAAGGGCCTGATTCAATAAGGTTTTTTATTAAACACCTGCTTTGCTTTTAAGCATGTGCTTGGACACTTGGCCTCAATGGAAGTAGTGATCTACTTAACCTGCTGGCCAGCGTCCCCACTAATTGTTTCAATCAATGCGTGGAATAAATTTTGTGCTCTGCACCAAGGTGTGTGCAGATGTGCACCACCCAGATAACATGTGCTACCAGCTATGGGCACTCTGCTAATAAGCTGGGCAGCATTGGAACTCCTGGGTGCCCACCCAAGCACTCAGCTTCCAGGCAACCCTGCTGCTGAAGCATGTTCTTGAGTGAGCGCTAAGAGAGCTGCTCACAGCCATGTGTTTCTCCCCGGTTTCCTTCCCGGGGCCTGGCAAACATTGCTTTGTCTCTGGAGGGCATGGTGTCCCCTCGGTCATTCATTCCACCCTTCAGTGAGCGCCCCTCCTTGGTACCTTGCAGAATACGGGTCGAACCTGGAAGAGGACATCAAATCCGACACGAGTGGCTACTTCGAGCAGATCTTGGTTTGCCTCCTGCAGGTAAGGTGGTGATGGAAGAAGGGGGGCGGGGGCCAGGCCTCTTCATCTCCCCTTCGTCGGACGGGGGCTAGCAGTCAGAGCAGGCCTGTCACAAGCCCACCCACTGCTGGTAGCCGCGGGGAGGACAAGATCATCATCCTCAGAGTGATCCCCAGAACTACATATCAGTTTTAGCAGAGACGATTGCTCGTTTGGGCACTCGGCCAGGGGTGGGTTGACCGTGCGTTGTTAGGAGAAGAGGGATATGCCTGCCTATCTACATTGGGTGGCCCTCGCTCTTACCATTTAGGAGAAGTTCTTTAACAAACAGACAGACACAAAAGACAGAACTGTGTAGCACTTTAAAGAAACAGACAGACAGACGCTCTAAAAACATAGATCTAAATACGGGTTATTTATCTTCAAGAGATGAAGGGCTAGAGGATAAATTCATCCATCTTTACAGCGCTTTGAGAGCCTCATTTGGGCAACACTAGAAAAGCAAATAACCCTGTTCTGTTTGTACCCGCCTAGGGCGAGAGGGACGACCCAAGGTGCCATGTGGATTCAGCGCTGGTCCTTCAGGATGCCCAGGTATTTCTGCAAAGGGATTGGTCTTTTCCCACCACACTGATGCTTAGGCTGTGGCCGGAATGGAATGGAGTTACTCTGTAACAAAGAGCTACTCTCCTGATGTGTCTAGACTGGCCAGTTTTTCCGGAAAATCAGCCACTTTTCCAGAAAAACTTGCCAGCTTGAATTTCCGCAAAAGCACTGACTTCCTACTGTCTGAAATCAGTGCTTCTTGCGGAAATACTATGCTGCTCCCGTTCAGGCAAAAGTCCCTTTTGCGCAAAGCTTTTGCGCAAAAGGGCCAGTGTAGACAGGTCAGATTTGTTTTCTGCAAAAAAGCCCTGATCACGAAAATGGTGATCGGAGCTTTTTTGCGGAAAAGCGCGTCTAGATTGGCACGGACGCTTTTCTGCAAAAAGTGCTTTTGTGGAAAAGCATCCATACCAATCTAGATGCTCTGTTCCGAAAATGCTTTTAACGGAAAACGTTTCCGTTAAAAGCATTTCCGGAAAATCATGCCAATCTAGACGCAGCCTCCCAGTTTAGACAAACCGGGGTTGTGGCGTGAAAGGATCTAGCTTGCCTGGCAGCATAAAACTGGAGATCCAAACAACATAATCCTGCTTGGCACCAAGTACGTGAACCCCTCCTCCGCGAGATCCAGGCATCCATTGGCACTGGGAGCTGTAACCCACGTGTTTCACTCACAGGCTCTTCACGCCGCCGGGGAGAAGATACGGGGCACCGACGAGATCCAATTCATCACCATCCTGTGCACCAGGAGCGCCACCCACTTGCTGAGAGGTATGGGGCAAAAGAAGAAAGTGTCCCCCGTGCAGAGCATTTGGCACAGCTGCAGATCAGTCTGTTTGCTGAGGCATTTGGACACCACAGAGACTGGGGTGTTAGACAGAGATGGCTGGAAAGTGGGACGTGCTAGGGGAGGGAGTAATATTTCATTGGATCAACTTCTGATGGCAGGCACAAGTTTTTCAGTTTCATGGAGTTCTTCCTCCGGTCTGGAGATGGTACCATCTCCAGAGCCGAGGAGAAAGGTCAGTGATGCTCAAAAACCCACAGAAATTGGTCCAATAAAAAGTATCACTTCAGAGACAAAAACAAGGAGGGGTCGTGTGGAGACTAGCAGATTTATTAAGGTATGAGCTTTCATGGGTAAAACCCACTTCATCAGATGAATTGGAGTGTATATATAAACCAAAGAAAGAGGCTAATCCAGTTAGGCTGGATATGGCTCATTCACAGCAGTTGATGTGGAAATGTGAATATCAAGTGAGAGGAAATTGCCTTTGTAATGAGTTAGCCAGTTAAGATCCTTATTCGATCCTAAATTGATAGTATCGAATTTGCAAAGCTTAGGATCTGGGTCAAAAGGCTCAGGCTCCCCATCCCAGCCGCAGGAAGCTGGCGCTTCAAACTTGGGTGACTTGCTGGAGCGCCAACGTGGGCTCTCCACTGCAGGGAGGCGGGCCAAGTCCATCGCCCACCTGCAAGAAGGGTCAGGAGTCCTGTGGCACCTTGTAGACTAACAGATGTATTGGAGCATAAGCTTTCGTGGGCAAAGACCCACTTGGTCAGATCTGAAAGCTTCTGCTCCAATACATCTGTTAGCCTATAAGGTGCCACAGGACTCCTTGTCGCTTTTGCAGATCCAGACTAACAGGGCTTTCCCTCTGATACCTGCAAGAAAGTTGTGGACCACGAATGGTCTATAGACCACACTTTGAGAACCACTGCTAGAGTCTATGGGCTTTGGATCAGGCCCAGTGGAAACCATGCACAAAATGCCCGGGGAGTTGTTTGGCGAGGATTTAGTCATCCTTTGTTTGTTTCCCACAGTCTTTGATGAATACCAGAAGCTTGCTAATAAAAGCCTAGAAGACAGCATCCGGAGTGAAACCCATGGCTCCCTAGAAGACGCCATGCTGGCTATTGGTGAGAGATGCGGGTACCCTTGCTCTTCTCCTACAGTTGTGGGCTAAACATCGTAAAGCACATCCAGCCCATAATACCAGGGCACTTTTTAGCCTCCTCGATCACCTGGGCTGGTTTAGAGAAGGCAACAGAGAGTTGAATTACTCTCCCCTGCTGTCCCTGGGTGAGACTGATCCCCGGCACTAACGGAACCTTCTCTTGTGTCTAGTGAAATGCACGAGAAACGTCCACGGTTACTTTGCGGAGCGGCTGTACCACGCCTTGAAGGTAAGATTGTCTCAGACGTGTCATCAGATTTGCACAGACTGGAGTTAAATCCAGGCTGGGTTTTGTTGTTTGAACAGTTGTGGTACCACGAAGCCGGCTGATTTTTTCAGATGCATTTTTTTTCTCAGTGACGTGAAAACAAACCACAGAATTCCAAGGGGGAGTACATGGAAATCCACAAAGGATTGTGTCCATACTAGGGGAGATCTTTAACTCCCAGATTAGGGATGTGACAAAGAAGTGTGTGGCCTCCTCCGTGCAAGACTTCCCTCACGTTTTTTGTTTCCATTGAATATCCCCTTCATAAGGGTAAAGGACTCCACAGATTGGCTGGAGGCCTGGGCAGATGCTGTGTAAAGCTATGATGCTTGGTGCACTGTATACACCAATAAACTGCCACTCCTCCTTGCAAGCCACCAGGGACCAGGCTGAGCGGCAGAGCAGGGCCAACAGGATCTGAAACCTGCTCTCTTCCATCTTGGTCCAACTTCTCCCCACCTCCAACCCCAAAAAGAGAGAAACTGAGGCCAGGCTACACATGTGGCACTGTCACAGTGATCCATGTGTTGTTGCAGGGGGCAGGCACTAGCGATGGGACCCTTATACGGGTCATCGTGTCCAGGAGCGAAATTGACTTAAATCTCATCAAGGCCGAGTTCCTGAAGGTCGCAGGCAAATCCCTCTCCGCCATGATCATGGTAAGCAGCCGCCTTGGTGTTCTGAATCACGTACCTGCCTTTCTAGCACGCCCCTCCCCAGGGTGTCTGGGAGCTGTCAGAAGTGTTCGGGGGGGAACAAACCCCTGGAGAAGTCCTCCGAGAAGGCTCAGACTCTGGAAGGAGTCAGGGGTTCCCTCTTCGTCCAACAGGGAGCCAGCTGCCCGTGCAGCTGCATAGCAGAATGTCACCCGCGGTTCTGATGGAGGCTGGTTCTAGAGCCACGTGCTTTGAGCCCTGCAAGCTGAAGCATCAGCCAGGGGCTGGAGCCAAGGGTCTTGTTTGCAGAAGGCTCAGGCCTTGCGTGGGTTGGCCAGGACTGTGGCAGGCCGAGCTTTCTGCCTGTCCCCTCCCAGGCACAACAGCGCCCCTTCCGCCTCCGTGGTGGTCCAACACCCGCTGTCCCTGAACCCCACCCTGGCGGTGTTTGGCTTCACACTCTCGGAACACACAGCCGCTGGGAGCACACACTTCGCATGGAGTCAACCGCAGCCCCGCGCCTCCCCCGTAGCAGGGAAGGCACAAGCAGGCACCGGTTGTATAAAACAGTAAACACCGGTCGCCTGTTCCTGCCTCTCTTTCCTCCCCGCTCTAGGATGTTCTCTGAGCCGGGTGACAGACCCGTAGGTTGTCCCTCATGGGCTGTCGCAGGCTGGGTGGCGTGGAGGAAAAATGGTCAGGGTGATTTACATCAGTTGGCATATATTGTGTGACAAGTCTAGAAATGGACCTTTTTCTAGCCCCTCAAATGCTTTGGAGTTGGATTCTTCCAGTCTCCACTCTGGTTTCTCATCCCTAGTCCAAAGCCACCTTCCAGAATGGGGTTGAAATCCCCGTTTTCTCCCATCCCGTCTTTCTGGTTTGTTCCCTGCCCCTGTGCGAACGGCACAGAAGCCCCGTACGACCCGTCTCCTGGGAAATCTTTCTGCAATTAAGGCCCTTTTTCTAATGGACCTTGTCAGCATCTGTCATGTTGATTAATGATCGGCCGTCGAGGGTCCTGCCTGGATAATTTCTGCCGAGACGTGGCAGCAGGTCCCCCGCCCGCAAATCCCCAGAGAGGCTGAAATGAACATCTCATCACGTTCCCGTTAATGCTCCCCTGGACAGGGGTTGGGGGATTTGTCTGTTTCTTAAAAACTTGACTCACTAAGCACATTGAGCATGGAGAATGGTCGATCAATCCTCAGGCGGCTTGAACCTTGAATGCAATGGGCTTGGTTTGACTTATGTTTATGGGATTTTTTCCCACCCCCTTGAGTTGTTCCAGTGGAGAACTGGGCTCAATATATTACACTGAAGGGAAAACACATTTGGCCTGTTTTCTCCTCTCCGTTATAAGTTAGGACAAAAGACAGAACTTTGTAGCACTTTAAAGACTAACGGCTGCATCTCTATAGTCTTTAAAGTGCTACATAGTTCTGTCTTTTGTTTCAGCTACACCAGACGAACACGGCTGCATCTCTGTCACTATTATACGTTAGGACTCTGTCTTTCTCAAAGCCCATCAGATGCGAGTTTATCCCACAGAGCTAACGCACGTCCGTCCATATTCCATTTTGGTTTTGTTATTCCCTCTGCCAGGAGGACACGAGCGGTGATTACAAGACAGCCTTGCTGAGTCTCTGTGGCAGCAACTAAGTGGAGAAATCTGAAGGGCAAAGGCAAGATGTGGAAATGGAGGCCTGGAAAACTTTGGCCAGGAACAAACGTCTGGGAATGCATGTCTAGAAATTCCCTAGCACCGAATAAATAGCAAATGGAAAATCTGCGCAGAGGCTAAGACTTTTTAAGGAACCTATGGGTGCCCGGTAGAGAGTTGGTTAAGAATTTTTCAACACATTTTTTTCCACCCAAAAATGCCAATTTCTCCAAATTGAAACGGAGTGCAAAACAATGTCCATTTCAACTGATTTTTTTTTTTTACTTCCAAAGTTATCCAAACATCCCATTTTGACACTTTCAATATAAAAAGAGCTGGTATTTTTGCCTTGAAGTGCCTTCTGTCCTTCTGGCATTGGAGCACATTTAGGCTGTGTCCAGACTCAGGGTTTTTTCCGAAAAAAGTAGCCTTTTTTCGAAAAAACTTCCCCTGCGTCCAGACTCAAGCCGCGTTCTTTCGAAATTAATTCGAAAGAACGCGGCTTTTCTTTCGATGGCGGTAAACCTCATTTCACGAGGAAGAACGCCTTCTTTCGAAAGTTCCTCTTTCGAAAGAAGGCGTTCTTCAATGTAAATAGGGCTTCTTCAAAGGAGAGCATCCAGACTCACTGGATGCTTTCTTTCGAAAAAGCAAGCCGCTTTTTCGAAATTTCTCCGTGCAGTCTAGACGCTCTCTTTCGAAAGAGGCTCTTTCGAAAGATGCTTTCGAAAGAGCCTCTTTCGAAAGAAGCCTGCAGTCTAGACATAGCCTTAGACTGGGAGGGGGGGAATGTTTGAAATGAAAACCGAGGAGCCTGAAAGGCAGAAATTCACCGAGACGAAATTTCCCCCCACTTTGCTGGTTCCCGAAAGTTTTTGAGGTTTCATCTTTTGTTCTGATTTCAGGTGGGAAAAATAGGGTGAGACCCTACATCATCCGTCCATTAGCTCTTGCAGGATTGGATCCCAAACTTGCAGGGGGGTATCCGAGCTTGGCCTTGAGACGTCACCCCTAGGGGAGTGGATCTCACAGCCTGGGGGGGTGAGGAGGGTCGAAGGTTTCAACAGGACTGCTCCCAGAAGCAAAGCCTGCAGAGAAGTTCTGTTAGGCCCGGCTGTGCAGGTCCGACTGTTCCATGCTGTAGGGTATTCTGCCAGGGGCCGAGAGATAAAATGGACCAGACACATGAGAACCGGCTCCCGACAACCGTCGGCTTGTCCGGTGCAGGCGAATGGGGCTATTCCCCAAGAGGCACTTTCCCCTGCTGAGAAACAAGCCGGTGTTCCGGCGGGAGAGGGGACGCCCTTACAAGCACAAATTTGTGGCTGTACCTGTCACGGAGCAGCTCATCTCTTCCCATCTGCGTAGCCAGCTGGCTTCTTTCCCAGGGTATGTGCGCGGGAGTGATCACTTCTGTCTGGTGCACGCAAAGCTCCCCCCGCTGCTAGTGCCAAATAAGGGAGGGGGACTTGGACCACACACCTCTGCAGGACACAAGGGTGACAACCCCCACCCACTGTTCTTTTTCATTTTTTTATCTGTGTGCAGAATAAATTTTATGTGCACTTAGGTGTGTGCAGATGTGCACCAGCAGTGTAAACACATGCTGCCGGCTGCCGGCGCTCTGCTAAGGGCACAATCAACTAGCCCTAAAATGGTAACCTTTGCTCTCCCTTCCTTTAAACCGAGACCTTCAGAGCGCGTCCCAAACCCTAGCCACTAGTTATGATAATTATTAACTAGTTACTTGTTTTCTGTCACTTCCACTCCCATTCATCGGAGGAAGTGGGTTTTGCCCACAAAAGCTCATGAGTCTGTATATTTTGGTTGGACTCGAAGGGGTCATAGGACCACTCTTTTTAAAGTTACAGACTAACACGGCTCACCCTTTGAAACTAGCCACTAGCAACACTTCACCCTGTCCTAGAGCATTCTTCTGGATTCTCTTGCCCACTCTGGGGCAGGGAAGTGGTGTTATCCAGCACTAATCAGGCCTCAGGATCTCTCTGGGAGCAACTGTATGTTAGTGATATAACAGGGACCGTTTCACCTCCTACTGAAATGCAGCCACCTCTGGGGTGGAACAGGGGAGCGACCTCCCAGTGCAACAGTCACCCTGCACAACAGCTGAGGCCAGGAAGGAAGGGTGGATTGGGCCAGTGTAAGCAGGTGAGGGGCTGTCTAGCTGTAGGGCATAAAACTGAGGTCCTGCTCCTGCAGTCAGATGCACCGGGGCCCAGAGGTGCAGCAGTAACCTATCCCCACCCTCACTTGCCCCGATGCTCTGACAGCTGGTGGGCTCAGCTCCGGAGGGTGGGGCAGGATGGAGCGTGTACCACCTCCACGGGGCTGCTGGTAGCCGACCACACTGGACAACGCCCACCTTGTGCCCTGGCGGAATCAGCTGTTGGTTTTGTAGGAGGCCGATCCTGCTGGCTTTGAAGTCCGTGGCCGGTCTCCCAGTGACGGCAGCGAGGGCCGGATCAGGCCCCAAGAAATGAGTGAAAAGCCGGCCAATTTCTAAGCACCCATCGGATTGCGGAGCTGGTCGATGCTGGCAGCCACCAAGCAAAACTGGGTTTGCAGCACCACCTTGTGGATCGCTGCCCCGTACACACACGGAGCAAAGTCTATTGCGTGGGTGGGTGGCAGGGAATACACCCAAGACCGGGAGGACCAGAGATAGGGGGGAGACAGCTGGACACCTGGCGTCCAACAAGTTTGATGGAGACCAGGCACCCAAATCCCACCAGGGATGCTGAAAACTGACCTGCCTCCTCTCGAAGGCTGCGACCACTCCGGGTTACCCCAGAGGATTCTTTGCCCCATGTCTGGGGTCAGGAAGGAATTTTCAATGGGTCCGATTTGTAGAGCCCTTGGGGGTTGGGTGGGCAAAGTTGCCTTCCTCTGCAGCTGGGTTCAACTAGAGTAAATGGTGGATTCTCCATCATTTGACATCTTCAACTCGTTCTTTGGGGACTTCAGTAACTCAGCCAGGGATGGGGGAAGAGGGGTCTGTGACAGCAGTGGGTGGGTGAGGTTGTATAGACTGCAATGTTGCAGGAGGGCAGACCACATGATCACAATGGTCCCTTCTGCCCTCCAAGTCTGAGACCGTGGGACCTGCCTTTTGGCTCGTCCTTGGACTCCTGACCCCCAGCTCTGGCCCACGTCTCTGAATCCCGGTCTCCGACTGCCGTTGCTCTGACTGCTAGGCATGACTGCTCGAGCTGTGGGTCTGAGAGGGCTTTGTTTGGAGCGGTGGTGGTGCTGGGCCAGCAGAAAAACTTCCGTACACATCAGCTGCAGCTGGGCTAGGGTGGATGCATCGGTGGCATGCCAAATCACTCCTCTAGGGGGCGCTGTGCTGCCAGGGTGCCCTCCTGTGGATGGGAGGGGTGACTGAACCCCATCTCGAGGGGGACCAGGTGTCCTGTTTTTAAAGAGACAGCCTCGCATTTAAGCCCTTCAGTGTCCCTACTTTAACAAAAATGACAACTTGGCCTGGATTTTCCATCTCTTCCCTTCTACAAGCACTGGTGGGCCCTGCTGCGGGCCAGATCCTTGCTGGCCAGCTGCCCACCCACCAGTGGTGAGTGGGGGGGGGGTCCAGTGGCTGACAACAGGGCAAGTGTGCAAGGCTGGTGATCCAGCAAAGCTGTAGCGTGCAAGGCGGTCAGCTCCCCTTTCCAGCACTGGCTGCAGTGGCTGGTAAGTGCGGGAAGGCGGTGACTGGTTGCGTGATGCCTCTGCTGCCCATCTAACAGCCCTTTGCATGCGCCTCCATTTCTGCCCCCGCCCCCCAGGTGTGTGTCTCACTTCCAGCGCAGTGCGGGAACCCGCCGCGGGTCAGATCCAAGACCCTCTGGCCTGGCGTGCAGGCCAGGAGCAGCCACACCCTGCGTGTGTCAAATCCCCGCACAGCGCAGGAGGGAAGATTCCCTGCCTCCAGGTAAGCTCTGCAGTGGCAGGAAGGAAGCGATTTCCAGCCTGTTTGTGACCTGACCCTGCGGGTCCCCAGGCAGGTGAGTGCCGGACAAGGATAAGAATTTAATTATGTATCGATCGTGGGCAATCCGTTTGCTAGGCGAAAGGCGCTTTAATAAAGAGGAATCAATTCCTAATCTATTTGAGCTGGTCTTTCCAAACGGCAAATATTTACGTGGGGGGGCGTTTCATTTGCCATTTAATTAATAGGAACAACGTGAGATAAACACTAGGAAGAACAAAATGCAAAGTAGCTCGGGGCACAAGAGCCCTGGTGAACAGTCAGCCGTGCCAGGGGCCTTCCACGAATCCTAGACAATCAGGGGCGGAAGAGACCTCTGGAGGTGATCTAGTCCAATGCCCTGCTCAGGAGGACTGGGGCATGCGGTCCCTCTACCCACCAGCATGTTGCCTGGCTCCAATCTCGCTCGGCCATCTGTAGAAGATGGTGAGCTGGGATCGTGCGATCGTGCAACCTGGTGAGCTGGAACCATGTGATCGTGTGACCTGGTGAGCTGGGATCGTGTGACCTGGTGAGCTGGGACTGTGCAATTGTGCAACCTGGTGAGCTGGGACCGTGCGACCTGGTGAGCTGGGACCGTGCAACCGTGCGACCTGGTGAGCTGGGACCGTGCGACTGTGCGACCTGGTGAGCTGGGACTGTACGACCAGAGAAGGTATCCAGGGGCTACTCTCTGGGTAACTTCTTCCTCTAAAACCCTGCCAGAGCACTGAGCAAATGGCCTGTTGCTGATGCCATCGTTGCCTGGCTGCCCCTGGCCCCACCCCTTATGCCCAAAGCCCCGCCCCTTTTAGGGGCAGAGAGCCAGGCCCCGACATCTTGCCCAGGGAAGCTGTCGGTCCCCCTGATTCAGCGAGTAGGTTTGGGGCTGTAGCAGCACATGGTAGCAGCAGGAAGATTTAAACAAAATGCCGTCACTGATTTCATTCTCATCCAGGTCCAGACTGTGTTTGTCATCCGACCTCCCCTTACAAACCCTTGGTTTAGTTGGCACGTCGGCCCCGAATCCAAGTGCAAGTAGGTGATCCCGAACCAAAGGGCACATTAATAGTCCTTTCTGCTGCCCGCAGTTAAAACCCGACCCCAATCTTGCAAGCACTAGTTGTGCAAGATGCATATGGAAAGACAGATTTCAGACC